GTCACAACATATTTTGGCTTTATCGGCTTATCCTCTTTCGAACCTCAAATTGCTCACAAGATTTTTATTCTGAAACCAAGGCCCTCGTTCATCTGCAGTTGAAAAGGAAAATAAAGATACAGTGAAAAACAATTTGTAATTTTGTAATTTATTTATGATGTGATGTAAGATAACAGTGGGAATCGAGTGGTTATCGAGAGACTTCCAGGTTGGAATCTTGTTACTGATAAGGAAAGGTTTTTTTGCCAGCTCCTGGATTCTTTATAATTTGTAATTTTTTTTTTTCTTTTTTTTTTTGGTACAAGAAAGGAGGCAAAATTTATATCCCACTGCAAACACCCGACGAGGGTAAAACACACCAGTAATATCATGTTGTAACCATAAGCCCGCCCCCGGAGGAGGACGGTCCAATATATGCAAACCACCCGGTCCCTGAGCCGCCAACGACTTCAAAAAAATCCACTACAAAGTTAGCTTCACGATAGCCATGAATAAGCGTCACACTCCATGGTCTATGTAAAAGATCCTTAATGCCTTTCAAAAGACTCCCATGCAGCCCGTTAGTGTCATCATGGTGGACCATCGCAACAACTCTTTGATTATCAACCTCTACAGTGATTTTGCGTGCTCCAATATCCCAAGCCAATTGCAACCCCTGAAATAACCCCCATAATTCTGCGCCCATGATCGAACGAAACTCAATATTCATCAGAAAGCCCGAACCCAATTGCCATAATGATCACGAACGACCCCACCGACACTAGCCACCCCGTCCATGGAATAAAGCTGTCATCGGTATTGACTTTGAGCTCCCCCACAACCGAAAAGGACCAAGATATCCAATGTTTTTCACGAGAACCACAGGCGCCTAAATGACCGCTATTAGCCCGAACACATTGAAGCTTGCCTGCATAAGAGCAGACCTCGCCAAGCCTGTGAACCAAAGTGGTATCGGCGCCTTCAAACACCTTGAGATTCCGCCATAGCCACAAGCACCATACCGTAATACCGAAAAGCGTCTCCCAGTTTTCGACATCCGGGACCAACCGACCCGTTAAATTTTTTGAAAGCCACGGCCGAAGGTCCAAAGAGAAAAAGCTGCTCCACCGGCAACGCGGAACCAGATTTTGCCAAGTCTTCCTCGCAACAGCACAATCTCGGAGCACGTGGATCGTTGTTTCGACAACCACCAAACAGACCGGGCAGCCCGCATGAGAAGCAAGATGTCGTCGGTGACGGACCGCATTGGTCAACAATGTTTCAAGTCTTCTCCTTTGAGAATAATAAAAAATGGAACGAGGTACGAGTCGGTCCTCATCTGGAACTTTCCTTTCGTTGGAGAAAAGAGAGGAATACCAATCAGGAAATTAAACCATCAAATGTTTTTAACATATAAACTCATTATATATATTTTAATTTTAATACTATATGAATGCATACAACTCATTTATTTATATTTGTGCATATTTACAAGAATGAATAATAACAGTGTATTAAAAGTAAGAAATTTATTCGTTAAGATTAATAAACAGTTGCATAATACATTACAATTAACATCATTTTGTTATATAAATTATTTATAAGTAGTAATTATTTATACGTAATATTGCACGCTTTAATTTAGTAAAACAACTCTTTATTCTATGGTTTTTATTAAATAAATACATAATAAAAAAACATGTGAATTTTCATAAGAATATGTAAGGTTATCATTTTATTTATAGATTTTGAATCATAATATGATAGAATTGATAAAGTGGCTAAAATAGATAAACTAGTCCATTTTCATAAAATAAACGAACTATTAATTATTATTATTAAATTTATCAGTAAGTAGAAGTATTATTCAATATTTTTCACCTATATTTTTAACCGGTGATTAATCAGGGCCATCAGGCTAATCACCGCGCCCGGTCCGTACATCGGTTCACGACCTTGTACAGTTACATATAGATCACGTAAGCGAATTTGTACCCCTCTCTCTCTCTCTCTAAAAGCTCTGACCGTCGCCGGAACCCTAGAAACAGAGGAGCCCATCTCGTCGATTTACCTGTTTTCAACGGAAAAAACGCGAGATTTTCTCACCGTCGTCTCGATCAAAAACCTCAATTCACTTGGTCGGAACCCTAAAATTTCGAGAAGCTCATCTCGCTGATTTTCACATTTCACCGGAAAAACGGAGGTCTCCCCACCGTCGATTTCCCTTGGTCTTCTGCCTGTCCAATTATTTTTCGATTTCACCAGGTCTGACCACAATTTCCGCAGATTACACATTTTGTTTACGCAAATCTATTTCCCTATTGAAGCATAGAATCTTTAATTTTTGTTCATAGTCAATCAGAACTACCGTGGATGGTCGGAATGGGTAGGGTTTACCAGGAGACGGCGAGGCCCTCGTCTTCCTCCGCGTCTCCATCATCGCTGGCCGTGACTACCTCGACGTCAGTAACAGAGACCGTCAATGGTTCTCACGAGTTTAAGATAACAGGGTATTCACTGTCAAAGGGAATGGGAATCGGGAAGTATATTGCATCTGATACGTTCATGGTTGGCGGCTATACGTGGGCGATTTATTTTTATCCTGATGGGAAGAGCGTGGAGGATAATGCTACATATGTTTCGCTTTTCATTGCTTTAGCTAGTGAAGGCACGGACGTAAGGGCGCTCTTTGAGCTGACCCTTTTGGATCAAAGTGGCAGGGAGAGGCACAAGGTTCATAGTCATTTCGGTAGAGCATTGGAGAGCGGGCCATACACTCTTAAATACCGAGGCAGCATGTGGTGGGTTTTCATTTTATGTTGGTGCATTATTTTCGGGGGGAGTTTATGAAATGTTTTTGGAATATGAAGGGTGAACACTTCACTATTACAGTGATGTCGAATTGCCGTTTATCCTTTTCTCTTAGGGACGTTAATGTGGGAATATATATTCAAGCAAGATGAGATGGTCTGGTTGGACATCAGATGGTAGCTGTCGGAGTAAGATTGTTGTTTGTTTGTTTGTTTACTTTTGGTATTGTGCATATTCACTTTTCCTTACCCGTACAGTGCTAGATCATATTTCTTGCCTCCCTGTAGGTCTCCTATCTGACATGTTTGTCTGTTAATTATATGAAGTGGTGAATTGAATTTGCGCCTTCTTGCTATAGTACAACTTTTGATTATTAGCCGTTATTCCTTTTTAAATATCTGTTTTTGTGGTTTTTGGGGATTGAAGGATCGATCTAAGCCCATAAGATTGGTGTGAGGCCTAGAATACGTTCTGCATATAATGATTCTGAATTGTTTATGCTTATCTTGACGCCACTATTACGATTTTTAGTCAGCATTATGCCTCATATTTGAAGTAATTGTTTGTTAGGTTGCATTATGAGAAAAGTAGTGTTCATTTAGTAATTTTATATTGGCTTGAAAACTTGCCTTCACTCGGTTAAGGATATATGAATGTTAAAGAAAAAATAAAATACAATTGCTGGTGGCTATGCTTGGCTGATTCTGATTTGAGTTTGATAAATTGTTGCTGAATTTGATTTTTAGTTGGTACATCATAGGGATATCATTGGCTTGAAGTTATTGTTGATTGATCTCTTTTCTCAGCATACTATTGTAGAAGCATAAGCTGTAAAGTTGACTCTGGTGATTGGCCAAGTGATTATTGTTTGAGTTACTTGACTGGAAGATTGGGTGTCTATTTGTGTGTAAATAATATTTTAAAACTCTATATGTAGAGTATATCCGAAAAATGTAATCGTTGCCGGATGATTTATGCAAAGGATAAAAAATGCAGTTTTTCCAAAGGGAGATAAAATATTGTTTAAGTTGGTTGCAGGGGTTACAAACGTTTTTTTAAAAGATCTGCCCTGGAAACATCTGACTACCTGAAAGACGATTGCCTTCAAGTTCGTTGCTGTGTTGGTATAGTTAGGTCTCACACAAAGGGACCTAAGATCTACTCAATAACAGTGCCTCTTTCAGATATTGGTCAGCATTTTGGGCAGTTGCTGGAAAGTGGAAAAGGCACTGATGTAAATTTTGAAGTTGATGGAGAAACAATTTCTGCTCACAAGTTGGTTCTTGCTGCTCGTTCACCAGTATTCAGAGCTCAACTATATGGTCCAATGAAGGACCACAATACTCAGCATATAAAGATTGAAGATGTGGAGCCACCTGTTTTTAAGGTATCTTGTGAAATCCTTTGAAATCCACTGTAGGGCGCAATTGTTTTTCCTACTGTGGTTTTGACATGATTGGCGTTTTGTCATTTTTCCTATACGGGAGCTTAGCATTGCAATAATTCTTAGAAGTGTTCACTCTTGTTCACTCAAGACATTTCAAATGAAGAATCAGTGTGGCATAACAAACGCTAGATCTTTATTTTCAAAGGCTTACAGTACAAGTTCTAAAAATTTACTCCTAGTAGGATTTCATATATGCCATAAAGCATAATAGGATGGATAGTGCATGGTTGTCGCACTGCTTGAGTATATGTGTATTAATTCCTTCAGTTCATATACAAGTAATTTTAATCTGTTTGAGTATATGTATGTATATATACAATAATGCTCACCTACCCACGGTGGGCACATGTTAATATGCCCACTGCTTATGTGGCATACACACATTGGTGATGTTAATATGTTCAAAAAAATACATCACCAATGTGTGCATGCCACATAAGCGGTGGGCATATTTTAATATGCCCATCGTGGGTAGGGGAGCATTACTCAGTATATATATATATATCTACTTTCCCTGTGACACTTTTGATGTGTTAAATAATTTGATTTTTAGATTATGATAAATTTGGAAATTAATCCTGCAAACTTTCATCATCACGAATTGCCAGTGCTCACTTTCTTCATGTAAAGTTGTAGATGATTGTTGCAACCTTTTCTCTTCCGACTGTTTATGCAAATTTGTTCAGCTAAACATAGTGAACTAACATTATGGTATCTTATATAAATTAATCCGAGAAGGATACTAATATATATGCTATGTGTTAATGAGGTCTATTTTAGAAAATGAAAGAGATTTAATTATGCAATTTTGGAGTTATGCATTAATTGGTCCATTTGTTCCTTGAGTGATGCTTGTAGTTTCTGTTATGAGAAACTTAATCGTGAGTTTGAATATGTGAATGATTGGATATGGTCCACTTTTTCCAATATTTGGATTGCTGCATTGATGTGTTATCCATATGGCACATTCACTTGTCAATTGTTTGTGTCAATTTGCTAAAATTGGAATTGTATTTAGCAATGTTTTTTTTTTAACATACATTCATGGAATTAGTTGTTGTATCTTTTCTTTCTTTTTTACAACTTTGTTTTTTGCTGGTCGGAACTTTGCACTATTGCAGGCATTACTTCATTTTATCTACTGGGATGCACTACCTGACTTTGAGGAACTTACTGGAATGAACTCAAAGTGGGCCTCGACCCTGATGTCACAGCATCTACTTGCCGCAGCCGATCGATATGGCTTAGATAGGCTCAGATTGCTTTGTGAGGCTAACCTCTGTGAGCAAGTTGCCATTAATACTGTTGCAACAACACTGGCACTGGCAGAACAACACCACTGTTTTCAGCTGAAATCTGTCTGTCTCAAATTTGTTGCACTTCCCGAAAATCTCAGAGGTGGTAAACTTTTGTGTTTTGCTTTTAGATTTGTGATTTTTTTTTTTTATTTTTTATTTTTTTTTTGGTTGGAGAGGCATTTTTTCTAGAGTTAAATGCCCAAGTTATACCTGAGGTTTGATCATTATCAGAAAAACTCACCCAACTTGCAAAATCACAAAAACTACCTCTCAAGAGTTTATAGTCTTACATTTACTGCATATTTTTATAATCAACACTGAATGAAGCTCGTGGCCTTTTGCAAATATGGGAGTTATGTGGATTTGATGCAATTATTTCAAATCTTGTTTTAGTTCGAGCTTCTTGGACCCCTGAGTGAATAGAAAATAACGAAATATATCTTGGACAGCTGTTATGCAAACGGATGGTTTCGAGTACCTCAAAGAAAGCTGCCCGAACTTGCTGACCGAGTTATTGGAGTATGTTGCGAGGATCAATGAGCACTCTATTGTCGGGAAGCATGGAATTGACGCTGTGATGGATGGAGGTGATGCCAATGGTAGACGCGTGAAGCAAAGACTGTAGATGTTGCCGTTGGCTGGTAAATCTTTCCCTTACCGGGAAAGAGATATCTACATTTGAGAAGGATAAATTTTCCCAGTTTGTAAATAAATGAGTGCTTTGTATTGTTGTTATTCTTGTGATCTCAAAGTGGGCAAAATTTATTCAAAGGCATTAGGCATGTTGTAATATGTTGAGAACTTTGAGAGTTTTCTCTGTACTCTGCTGGAAAATTGAATGTTTGTGTGTGGATTTTTTCTTTTTGACTTACTAATGGCTGTGGGCATGTAAATGTGAATGACATTTGTCTGTAATTGAGCTGCTGCAGAATATATCACTACAGACTTTGGAAAATGTTTTGCTCTTGAATTAATTCATTATGATAGATTTTTTTTTTTTTTTTTTTAAAAAAAAAAATTAATCGAGCCTTAAAAAGCTCAGTAGATGTAACTAATATATTGGTTGTATTTTGATTCACCTGTCCAGTAATAAGCTTGATCAAAACATAAATTGAAGGATGACAGTAATCGACACAAAACATAATATAAACTAATTTCACGTGAGGAGATTCTACAGTCCCGTTACGGAATCATTCTGTTGGGGTTTGTAACCGTTAGATCAACTAGCGATTACATGATGATCTAACGGTTACAAATCTCGACGGAATGGTTCCGTAACGGGACTGTGGCATTATTGTGATCCAATAAAATAAATACATGAAAATATGATGGTGAAATTACAACTTTTTCTTTAATATTTTTTTTTTAAATAATTTTAGCATCCCGCGCAAAATATATTGACCCTTACAAAATAGGTAAATAATTGTTCTTCATCTTATTATTATTATTATTATTATTATTATTATTATTATTATTATTATTATTATTATTATTATTATTATTATTATTATTATATATTATTATTATTATTATTATATTTTTTTTGTAACATTTATTTGTAAATAAATCAAATATTGCCCACTTAGGTGGGGACCTTTCCGTGTTCAGTGCAAACTTCAGGGACCTCCTTGCAAATTGTACTCATATTTATAAGTGCTCTGCAACACCCGCTTTAGCTCCCACTGTTCATCGGAGCTCAGCTTTTGGATTCAAAGCATAAAAACCATTGCCCACCTGAGAAATTCCTCTCCCCGCGAATAAAAATGGTATTTTTTTTTTTTTGTTCATATCTCTCCGTTGTTTGATTTTATCAATAATCTAGGGTTTAATCTCACGTTTTGTCTTGCTTCGTTTTCGCAGTTGTTCTTCTCGTACTTCAAGGATTTGGTGGGGAGGGAAGTTACTGTGGAATTGAAGAACGATTTGGCGATTAGGGGAACCCTTCATTCGGTTGATCAGTATCTCAACATTAAGTTGGAGAATACGAGGGTTGTTGATCAAGACAAGTACCCCCACATGGTATTTTTTGAATTATTGTTCTTTTCTGTTTCATCTGTATCCAAAGGATTAGGGTTTTGGTTTTCCGAAAAGCGAGTGGATGTCTTGGTTCTCGGTTATGTGTAGTTGCTGTTGAGGGGTGGTTTCTGGTAGAATTTATAGCGAGGGTGTTTCTGAAGTTCAATTAGGGTTTTAGGGTTGATACTTATGAAGTTTAGTATGTTCTTAGCCTTTTTCTAGAACGGTATGGTTATGTGTGATTGCTGTTGAGGTGTGATTTCTGGAAGAATCTGATGCAAGTGTATCTGTGGTTTAATTAGGGTTTTAGGGTTGATATTTCTAGAGTTAGGATGTTCTGAGGCTAACACTAGAACACAAGGTGTAGTGATTATTTTGGTTCTGTTCATGGTTAATGGGAGATGAGAGTTTGGTTTCTATGATGGGAAGAACATTGGGGTGTTAGTTTGTATACTCAAATTATTGGTTATGTTTCTAAGTTACCAACTTAACTGCTGTATTCATTTCCTTATTTTCCAGAGCCATCCATGTTAAGCTTGGTTTTTATTTTTTTGGATTGTGCACTGATGGTATACGTGTTCGTGAGTTGTGTTGATTGAGTTATTAGTTCCTTGAAGTTATACCTAGATTGCTATTGGTTATCCATCGAATCGCCCTTAGGAACACTATCCAGCCATGTTTTTGGATAATTAACTTTTATTAGATTGAAGGTCAATGTTTATGAAAGCACCCATCACGTGTAGGCATAGTATCCATATCACAGTGATTGTCCCGCATTTTCTTTTGAGCTTTTTGAAACAGTCTATTCGGATGATTCAATTTGGTATATTAATCTTGACTTTGAAATATAAACTTGTGTGTCTAATATTTCTTGCATTGATAAACCTTTTCCCACAGAAAGCGATATTTGTGTTGGAATTCTATGTTTATCAGAGTTTGGTTCTGCTCTATTCTAAACATTTTATATTATCTTCTCCAGATGCCTCTGTTCTTTACCACATATGGCTACTGTTTCATTTATGCTGATGTGAATTTCTCTCCTCTCCAATCTCATATAACCCCACCTCGATTTAATTTAACTGGTATTATTTTATGATCCTACAGCTTTCAGTGCGCAACTGCTTCATAAGAGGATCGGTTGTCAGGTATGTCCAACTGCCCCCCGAGGGAGTTGATGTCGAGCTGCTTCACGACGCCACTAGAAGAGAAGCTCGTGGGGGCTAAGCTTTCTCTTTCCTTTTCTTAATTCGTGTACTTTAAAGCTACCGAAGAAGCAATAGTCCGTTCGTTTTGGAAACTTCCGAGGCTTTTCACATTTTTGTATCATCTTTGGGAGGTTTTTCTTGAAAATTTTCCTCACATGAGACCTGTGGACGATCATTTTGTTAACTGCGCTGCAGGTTTTTGTGATGGAGAAAGATTGTGATGTAGTTGAGACAGATTTGGATGATTGATTTGCATGTATAATGAATGAAAAGACAAGTAGTTTTAAAGATGTTTGGTTGTGTGTGTGTGTGTGTGTGTTCAACAAATTATGGGATCTTTTCAAGGATTGGTATATGTTGTTTTTAAAGATGTATTGTGGCATATTAGATATATACAGAGAAAAAAAAATAAAAATATGTAGAGAGAAAAAAATATGTTGGTATATGTTGTTTTTATGTACTGTGGCATATTAGGATTGGTATATGTTGTTTTTATGTGAATATTAGATATATACAGAGAAAAAAAAAATAAAAGTATGCAGATATGCTCTGGGCATGGGCAAAGGAAATGATGAAAGGCATAAATGTCCAAGTGTAATTGAAAAGTTTAGTTGATATAAGAATATGTAGTTGAAAAATTAGTTGATATGCTGTGAGTCGCGCTGTGATGACGTAACCCGGCGGACAGAGAGCTACTTGAAAGCGGCAGCGGCTTACAGAAGAGTTGGTGCGACATTACACACGCTCCGGATGATCCAGTGGCACCCACCGGACCCGGGCTGGGTCAAGGTGAACAGCAACGGGACCGCTAACCGTTATACTGGGTTATGTAGCTCCGGTGGCTTAATTAGGGATGAGCTAGGTCGTTGGATCGTGGGGTTCACAATGAATATCGGAATTGGCACTATTACCGGGGCCGAATTATGGGGCTTGTTTCAAGGCCTTCGGTTAGCTTGGGAGAAGGGGTTCCGAAAGGTGGTCGCAAAAGTTGATAGTCAATGTGTGACGAAAATGATCTTGGGCCCCGATAGAAATTTTGGAATCCATGACTCGATTGTTCGGGCAATTCGGAGCATGTTGAGCAGCGACTGGTGCTTAAGGATAGAGCATATACATCGGGAGGCTAACTTTGCATCGGATTATATGGCGGATGTAGCGGCTTCTGCGCCATTAGGATTGCACGTTCATATGTCACCACCCCCCGGGTTAGGTGAATGGCTTGACCATGACCTTCGTGGAGTGGCTTACCCTCGACGAGTCCTAGCTTCGTAGTTTGGGCTTTCGGCCTCCTTCTTTGTACCAAA